GTGCCAAAACGACTGAATGGACCCTTGGAGGGCATACATGTCTCATCAATCTCTTGTGGCCCCTGGCATACAGCTGTAGTGACCTCTGCTGGTCAGTTGTTTACCTTTGGTGATGGAACATTTGGTGTTTTGGGTCATGGAGATCGGAATAGTGTCTCAATTCCAAGGGAAGTGGAATCCCTAAAGGGGCTCCGCACTGTACGAGCAGCTTGTGGAGTGTGGCATACTGCTGCAATTGTTGAAGTCATGGTTGGAAATTCGAGTTCTAGCAACTGTTCCTCAGGGAAGCTGTTTACATGGGGAGATGGTGATAAAGGTCGTCTTGGGCATGGTGATAAGGAATCAAAACTTGTTCCTACTTGTGTAGCTGTTGAACCAAGCTTTTGTCAAGTTGCTTGTGGACACAGTCTGACAGTTGCCCTCGCGAGATCAGGGGATGTCTACACCATGGGAAGCACTGTTTATGGGCAGCTGGGAAATCCTCAGGCTGATGGAAAGTTTCCTACCCGTGTTGAAGGAAAGCTTTCTAAGAGTTTCGTTGAGGAGATTTCTTGTGGTGCTTATCATGTTGCTGCTTTGACTTCCAGAACTGAAGTCTATACTTGGGGGAAGGGAGCAAATGGTCGATTAGGTCACGGGGATGTTGATGATAGAAACACCCCTACTTTGTTAGAAGCACTGAAAGACAAGCAAGTTAAAAGTATTGTTTGTGGCACTAACTTCACTGCAGCAATCTGTCTCCATAAATGGGTTTCGGGTGTTGATCAGTCCATGTGTTCTGGTTGTCGCCTCCCCTTTAATTTCAAACGAAAACGTCACAATTGTTATAACTGTGGACTGGCCTTTTGTCACACATGCAGCAGTAAGAAATGTCTTAAGGCTTCCATGGCTCCAAATCCCAACAAACCTTATCGTGTATGCGACAATTGTTTTAATAAGTTGAGGAAAGCTTCTGAAACTGAGGCATTATTGCAATCATCTGTAAGTAGAAGGGGAAGCTTAAATCATGGGACTACTGTATTTGTTGATAAAGATGATAAGTCGGATTCCAAAAATCGTGCACAACTTGCTAGGTTTTCGTCAATTGAACCCTTGAAGCAAGGAGAAAGCCGATCAAAGAAGAACAAGAAGCTAGAATTTAATAGTAATCGAGTCTCGCCTGTTCCAAATGGAGGATCCCAGTGGGGAGCCCTTAATATGGCCAAATCTTTTAACCCGGTATTTGGATCATCCAAGAAATTTTTTTCAGCTTCTGTGCCTGGATCAAGAATTGTTTCTCGTGCAACATCACCAATATCAAGGCGCCCTAGTCCTCCTCGTTCAACTACACCAACTCCAACTCTTGGGGGCCTCACTTCTCCTAAAATATTTGTTGATGATGCTAAGAGGACCAATGATAACCTTAGTCAAGAGATTGTCAAATTAAGAGCACAGGTATTGCACTTCTCATCACGCTTGTGGAATTTTTTCCTTTGATTGTTGTTCTTGGTCCATGTATTTTCTTATTTAAGTCTTGTCTATAAATTGTTAAAATGAAAAAAAAGGTAAAAATCTAACTCATTATTGATTAACAATGGGAAAGTGATTCAAAAAGAAGCAGCAATCCTAACATAATCATTCTGAATATAAGAATTAATATCATAAATTTTGTTGTCCAAGAAAAAATATGTTTAATTTTCAAGGAAAATTTTTCTTTATATCCTGGCACATGTTCTTTTTTTATTATTTGAGCAAAAAGCGAGTAGCAAAAATACTGTCAAATGATAGCTAAATAAATTGCAGTGTCTTGCGTTGTTTCACATCTTGCACTTTAGTGCGTCTTTAACTAAGGTGTAGGAAGCTTGATAAAGATTAAAAAAATTGAAGACGTCATATTTTTGTGAGTGAACCATGAGAGTGTTTAGGTCGTAGGAACTCATTTCTCTTTGTTTTTTTCCTTGTTCTGATTGATATCTTTGTTGGATATCATTGCTTTCATGATGCTTAGATAACATATTGAGCATGCATTATAGATCTCTGTCCAAAGCAACTGTATGAATTCATCAAAACAGGTTCCTATGCTATGCAATATAAATTATGGTAAATTCTGCAACCTGCTACCTGTATAATTTCTATTGGACAATATGTTAACAAATGAGGAAAGAAAAAATTCTAAGAGCTAAATGAGCTGATAAAAACTAGATGCTATGCTTTAATTTTTGCAGGATATTTTACCGTACAGAAGATTTACGCTTGTTTCCTTTATTCAGCAAGTTTGTTTAACTTGTTTACAGGTTATACAGTGGTTATACTTATGTTACCAATCTGTACAGGTGGAGAATCTTACACGTAAAGCACAGCTTCAAGATGTTGAGCTGGAAAAAACAACGAAACAGCTGAAGGAGGCAATAGCAATTGCAGAGGAGGAAACTGCAAAATGCAAAGCAGCAAAGGAAGTTATCAAGTCACTTACTGCCCAAGTAAGATGGATTTGTGTTTGTACTCGATGGATATTGTTTGTTACGAGTGATAATTGCTTTGAATTTTGAACTATAATTTTTTTCCTCTGTTGTTTACTTAGCTTATCATAGGAAGTTATCAAGTCACTTACTGCCCAAGTAAGATGGATCTGTGTTTGTACTCAATGGATATTGTTTGTTACGAGTGATCATTGCTTTGAATTTTGAACTATAACTTTTTTCCTCTGTTGTTTACTTGGCTTATCATGTTATTTCCCCTAGTTTTTATACTCAGGTTTCCTCGTATATATTATCCAAATGGGCCTAAAGTGGACAATATCTTGCAAGTCAGTGTGGGCCATGATTGAGCATATCCCGATATCACAAACATGCTCAAATTCAATTATACTGCTTACTTTTCAAAAAAAAATCATATTACACCTTTGGTCGATTATATCGCTGTTGTGTTCTTTTAAGAAGTTGGAATCACAAAGCTATTCAATGGATAGCTATATAGTTTAGATGCTTTCTAATCGTATCACTAGAGTCAGTTAAGTGATTGATTGGACTTTCAATACTTAAATCATGTCTTTTTACTGATATGGATGATTATTTATGTGCTGAACAGTTAAAGGATATGGCTGAAAAACTGCCTGTGGGAGCTGCACGGAGCATCCAATCACCTTCATTTACTTCATTTGGCTCTAACCCCGCTTCCAGTGATGTCTCCAGTGTTTCAGTTGACAGATTGAATTGTCAAATAGCGTGCCAAGAACAAGATTCAAATGTATCAAACAGCCAGTTGCTTTCTAATGGATCCAACACTACCAGTAATCGTAGTTCTGGCCACAATAAACAAGGTCATATTGAACCAGCAACAAAAAGTGGAGGTAGAACAAAAGAAGGTGAATCTCGAAATGAGAATGAATGGGTTGAGCAAGATGAATCTGGTGTGTATATAACACTTACTTCTCTACCAGGAGGTGCCAATGATCTCAAGCGAGTTCGCTTTAGGTATGTTCTCCATTACCCTCTTTGGCAATTCTAAATTTTGTAGATAAGATAATGGAAAATCAGGAGTGATTAGTTGGAGAGGACATTTCTGCTTGCAGCAAGCAAAATGAAGATGATAATTAAGAAAGTGTTCATAAACAGCTCAGTTAGCCTGATATAAGATATTTGGTATCGTCTAAACATGTGAAAAAATCAACTTAAAACCCTTGCTTATCTTTGACGAACAGCTAAGTAAGCATATGCTTTGAGATGTACTCCTAGATGCATTGTTAAGTGCTAAGCTTGCAACCATATTTTGGGGCTCTGATCTAAGTTCACGGGTGCTAAATGAAGTGAAGAAATCTTTGACGAACAGCTAAGTAAGCATATGCTTTGAGATGTACTCCTAGATGCATTGTTAAGTGCTAAGCTTGCAACCATATTTTGGGGCTCTGATCTAAGTTCACGGGTGCTAAATGAAGTGAAGAAGCTTGTCGACATGATTTACTTTAAGCTATAACACTCGAAATATTTAATGGCCTTAAAATAACCATTCCTGTTTAGATCATCACCCTTGATATGTGTGACTATTCGGTGTAACATATTGACTGTCAAATTTTGATGTGGTAATGTTGTAGAGAAATAAACGGTTTTTGAAACTTTAAATGCAGTAAGAAGCGGTTTAGTGAGAAACGAGCAGAACAATGGTGGGCAGAGAACAGAGCAAGAGTATACAAGCAATACAATGTCCGCATGATAGACAAGTCTAGCGTTGGCGTTGGGAGTGAGGAATTGGCTCATTAACACAGTGAGATAACCATATGTACATGTAATAGACTTTTGCAAGATTCCAGTCCCAATTATTCGGATGATCTCAGTTGATCAAATTATACTCGGTTTTCCATTGTTCATCAAGAGTTGATGGAAGCAGAAATGGCAGGAGTAAAGATAAGTAGAGAGTTTGGCTTGAGTTTTCTTTTATTTTTCCCCTCTGATATATAAATATAAGTATATACCCCATTTGTGTTGTGTGGGAGGGATTGAGTATGACAAATGTAAATTCTTAGTAGTTTGATGGCTCTGGTTGAAAGCAGCTGCCATGTAATGTAAATTCAGATGCAAATGAATTCTGCAGTAGAAAGTAGTTATACTCTTTTTCTTTTGATTTATATAATAATTTCAGTTGAGGTTTGTTAAAAGCTTATGCTATATTGCTTTTATGGGCTAATATTGTTTTATTTGCGTTATTAAGGATTATGAGTAGTTTCACTCATGAGACATCCATGATAACTGTCTTATTTTGGAAGGGATCGGAACAGTCATCTTGCGTGGCGAAGTTTGTTGTCGGTAGATCGAAGCAGTCTCACACAAGAAGTTGGCTAGTGGGATTTAGAACTCATCTTGCAAACACTTAAATATAATTTTTAAGTCCTAAGTTCAATCACCTTTATACCCTATCTGTATTTTCCTATAAAATCTTGCAAAAACTTAAATAATTTTTATCGACTATAAAATATTAAAGGTCAACTCAACTAACTCAAATTTTATTTGAGGGGAATTTTATTAAGTTTACTCCAAACTATAAAAAATATGAGGCATATACAAGTAACAATCAAGTGATTGAACATAACAAGAAGCTTGTTTTACGTAGATCCCCTCGTGTCTAGGATGAAAACCATCTCCGCACCTGAAAACGTGCACTTGACCATTGACCATCACCCAACTACACTCAGCTTCTTTCTTAACACCACAGTGGGTCATCAATGCCCCGACTTGTCGGACATCCTCCCACCGACCCTTGGCCGCAAAAAGATTCGATAGTAATATGTAATGGGAGGCTGTACCAGGGTCAAGCTCCAACAGTTTCTCTGCAGCACTTTCACCAAGTTTCTCATTCCCATGCCTTGCACTAGCCCCAAGAATTGTCTCCCAAATCAAGGGGTCCGATGTAACCTTCATGACGTTGATGAAGCTTTCGACTTCATTGAACTTTCCGGCACGGCTTAATATATCGATCATGCAAGCATGATGCTTGATTGTAGGTGCCATCCTATAAATATTGGTCAAAGAGTCGAAGTGCTCTTTCCCTTCTCCGACCAAGCCCATATGACTACATGCAGATAAAACTGCGATGAACGTTACCTCAACTGGCTTGAGGCCATTATCTAACATTATCTTGAAAGTTTCTAAAACCTTCGATCCTTGCCCATGTTGCAAGTATCCGAATAACATTGTGTTCCATGAAACATCTGTTGACACCATGCCCTGGAAAGCAGCTTCAGCTTCTTCTATGCAACCACAGTTGGCATACATATCTACAATAGCAGAAGATACAAACACATCATCAAAACTCCCGGCTCTTAACGCCATAGAATGAAGCGACTGCCCATTTTCCAACATCGCCATCTTGGAGCAATTACTCAAACAGGTGGCAAGAGTGAATTCATTGGGCTTCACGCCTTGCCCTTGCATCTGATTGAAGTACTCGATAGCCATCTCCGAATGATCACTTTGGGCATAACCAGAAATTAATGTTGTCCATGATAAAAGATCTCTCTCAATCAATTGACTAAAAAGTAGATCTGCATCCGCCAAAAATCCATTTTTGACATACAAGTCGATAAGAGATGTTCCCACCGAATTATTATCATCCAGGCCATTCTTTATTATATGGACATGCACTTGCTGTCCGAAGTTTAGATTTAAAAGATGGGAACAAGATTTTAAAATGTTAGTAAATGTATAGATATCAGGCTTAAAACCTTCAGCAAGCATTTTGTGAAAGATACTTGGTCCCTGATAACAAGTTTTATCGCTATATGATCCGGAAAGAAGAGCATTCCATGAAGCTAAATCCCAAGAACTCATTTCCTTAAACACATGCCAACCATTTTGGACTGACCTGATTTTCATATACATTGCAATAAGTGCATTGCTCAAAACAATTTCGGATTCAAATCCATATTTAAGTATACAAGCATGAATGCCTTCACAATAGAACTGATCACCCGAATTAGCAGCTACACTAGCAATACTTGCAAAAGTATGTTGATTCTTACCCCTTTGTGTCTCATTAGGCAAAACAACTCTGCTGCTTCTTGAATCTGACCGTGCTCATCAAGGCAGTTGATCATCGCACTCCAGGTTACTGTGTTGGGTCTTTGAACCCTTTCAAATACCTTAAGTGCATCCGTAGTTAATCCACATTTTGAATACATGTCAAGAAGGCAACAACCAACAAATTCATCGTGCTCACAACTGGTCTTAATCACCAAAGAATGTACAATCAAGCCCCATGTTATGTTTACCGAGCACGAACAACTTTTGAGCACATTTGACAAAGTTAACTTACTGCACCTCAATTCGGTTCCGTCATCCCTCGAAAAAAAATCAAAATCTTTCCTTCATCACCCTTTAGAGCATATCCATTAAGCAATGCATTCCACGACACAACATTCCTTTTATCCATGTAAACAAACACTCTCTCTGCCAATTCTATCTCACCACATTTTGCATAAAGATCAACAAGAGAGGAACCAACAAAAACATCAAACAAAAGCCCAAATTTAACACCTTTCCCATGCAACAATGTCCCATAAAACAATTCTGAACTCAAAGAACAAGCTTTCAAAGTGGTCACCAAGCAATTTCCATTTGGCCTAACTTTATCTTTCTTCATAAAACAATAAAAACCCAACCCATGATATCCATATCCTTCATTAACTAAACCAGAAAACAAAGCAGTCCAAGACACAACATCTCTTTCAGGCATTCTATCAAGCACTTTACAAGCATATCCAAAGCTCCCACATTTCGTACAAACGTCTACTAAAGAGTTCCATAAAAACAAATCTGGATCAAATCTGATTCTTATTGTCTTCCCATGAAGAACTTTGGCTAAACTCAAATACCCTTTCGAAGCACAATCATGCAGAATCTTAGAATAAAGCTTTAATTTTCCAATTCTTTCGAGCTTTGCCTTTTCTTTGAAAGGTTTGAATTTTAAAGATGGGTTTACTTCATTCGTAGCAATAAGGGCAGTGAAACAAGAAACAAAGTGAAGTGTGGCCGGAAGGAACCTTGTCGAAAATTGAACGAAGATACGGTTCCTTCTTAAGGGATCGAAAATCAAGTGATTGAATAAGCATTGAAATTTACCTGGGTTCTGGACTCTTTGTGAAAGGCTATAAAGTTTGAAGCTTAAGCACACTACCGCATAACTTGGCTGCCTCTTCGTCCTCCGTCGGCCAAGGCAGAAAGTATTTCTTTCTCTGTTTTTGTTTTAAAAACATTTTTTTCATGAAGAGGCATACATGTTTAGGACCAGTACTTTAAAAGTATTTTTTAAATAAAAATTATAAAAAAAATGTCTATAAGATTAAAATAAGTTAAATCACTTTAATTGATTTCAAAAATTATTAAAGTGTATAAATTAATCACAAATTAATAACATAAAATCTTACAAATAAAGAATTAAAGAATTTATTTATTTTTAAAGAACAAATACAAATAAATAAGCATTGATAAATGAGAATCAATTTAAATCTTCAAATCAGGTGTAGATAAAAAAATATAATAAAATAAAATGTTAATCTAAAATACTTTATTCTAAAATATATAAGTGAAACAAGAAACAAAGTTACGATAAAACTTAAATATTTTTTATACCAAAATAAAAATAATAATAAAATTAAATTAAATCACATTCGTCAGACGTCATACTCAAACTCGAAACCTCTAGAGATAATATTCATCTTTTTAATCATTAAGGTCACTTAATTATAATCATGGGTGCCCTAAGCTGTCAAATATTTCAGTAGCAATGACTCCTCCTGAACATGCCATTACCAGAGTAAGGGTAAGTCTTCCTCCCGGAACGAGCTCCGGCAGCTTAATTGATGTCGATGAAGTTCGGGAGTACCGGTCTGACCACGACATTGCAGCAGGAAGTATTCCGAATAATACCAGTACTGGCAAAAACATGGAAGATTTTATCACTTTCAGGTGTGAGTTGAGGCTCTCAATGAAAATTACCAATTTATTTTTGTTGCTTTCAATGCACGGTACTGAAATCACTTTGCAAATATTCATATATTTATGAATTTTTGATAATTTCACGTCCGGGGATATGTATCGATCCGGATACGAGAACTTTAAGAGAAATAAAGAGTTTGAACGACATAAATTAATTGACTTGCAGGTGCAAAATAGGTTTAGAGAATTACCTCCATATGTTCCGGCAATGTCCAAGGCTTTAAAAAATATCTCCGGGTCTAGCAAAGCAAGTCCTAGAGGTGGAATCAGAGTCAAGAGATATGGCTGAGGCTTATTCTCACCGGCCGGAAGTTTCAGCACTGTAGTGATCGGAAAAATAAAAGAAAGATGGACATTTTCATAAGGCCGACAGTCTTGAAAAGAAACTAGGCAACCCGAGCATTATAACAAGATGTCTTGCACCTAAATCAAGCAATTTCATTGATACAACACATGTATATTGCCACGAGACTATTATTTTCCCCAACCTCTCCAAGGCGTGACATTCTCCCCACTTGATCTCGTCACAGGCAGTCGTCACGGCTGTCCACTCTACCCACTGAGATATTCGGCGTGAAATCAGACAGTCAATAAATCTCTCATACCACTCGTCACGGGACCGGTAACCTCTTCACGACCATTACCCTCTTCCCAAAATACATGGCGTATGAGAGTGACCCGTTGACTGTTTGATTTCACATCGAGCGTCTCAGTAGGTGGAGTAGGCAGGGTAGACAACCTTTATGATGGCCCGTAACGAGATTGAGTAGAGGAGAATATCACGTTTTGAAGAAATGGGGAACATTAACCCCACATCAAAAAAGAAAAGAGAGATCCTAAAGGTTTATAAGCAATGGCGTTGCACATTCTATCAAAAGTAAAAATGGCTCTCTAAGGACGCTCTAGACGTGTAGAAAACATTACCGATATCAGGAACATACTCGTATCCAACAATCTAAAACATAGTCTCGAATTTGTATTAGAGCCCAGTGTAGGAAAAGCAGTAAAATATATGGGTGCATGTGAGATCAATCCTGGAGAAAACTCACAATCAGCCAGGAAATCGGAAAGGCCCAAAATGAATCCGATATAAGATGTTGCAATGGCAAGAAGTGAGAACAACTCAACTATTGGCTGCAAATACGTTTCAAAAACCAAAAATGGTGTCACTTAAAAACTCAATTTGATGCCATTCACCCTGAAAATTTTGACTCAAAATCCATTGAAGAACAAAGAACTTACTCCAACAACTCCATTACTCGATCGTAACTGTTGCAATGGATCCATCATCTGATCTGAGCTCATCTCAAGATTCGAAATATATCCTAGAATAACACCATTCCACACAAGAAACAAACCAAGTGGTATCGCTGTTCCTAGAACAATAGCAGTCCTGCATAAAACAAAGATTCATAGAGAACAAATGACACAAACCTTGTGCCTCCATGACCGAAACTCAATTGTAGGATTCGTGAGTTACACGATTTCGAAACATATGACAGAGAAAAGAAAATCGATTGGAAGGGCAGGGAATAAAAAGCGCTTTAAATCTTAAATGGTAAGATCGGTCACCTTACTTTTGACACGTCTCCTTCAAGATTTGTGCAGAGAACCGGTACAACATTCTGAATCAAGTAGATACAAAAGATGTTACAGCAACTTAATAAAATGTTGGATTTTGCTACGATGGAGACCGATAATGTAAATTATTTACCGATTTCCGCAACTAATTGTTAAGGATCCTACCTGGTAAACAAATGACAGCGCAATTATTGGTATACTCATAGGAACAGCTGCAAAGTTGGCTTTCAGAAGTGCATCCCACTCTAGGCCTCCACTTGCAACAGACTAAGCCAAAAAAACAAGTAAAAACTAAGCAATATGAAAAGAAATACGCTTGATAGGAAAATAAAAATCATTTTCTTAGTGATATAATGCGAAAGAATCGACAGTAATCAATCAGATATACTAAAGAAAACTCAGATAAAAAAGGCTTAAGCTATAAATATTGAAATTTAAATCATGTTGTTAATAACAGTCAAGGAATTACCACAAGAGCAGTGAAAGAAGCAATGATTCCCAGTACAAGAACTCCGTTAACAGCACCAACAAAGCGCTGGCTACAATTGAAACACAAATCAAAGTTAATCTTAATTTGTTCATTCTAAAAGCAAGAGGAAAAAAACACATTGAATAAAAAGAAGCTGAACCATGTAGTATCCTTTTATCAATTTAAATGTCATGAATTCAAACTGTTTTTTTTTTCTTTCTTGAAGAGAAATGAAATGTAGGGACAATAGTCTAGCACACTGGTAAATGCATCAATGAGGGTACTGGTATACGTTCGACACGGATATGTTCAATTTTTCAAAAGATTTTTGCCCATGTATTCGAAGGACCCTTGGACGGTCATATGCCTATACGATGTCAGCAAATGTATCGGATATAGATGTTGGACACAGGTACTTCAAGAAAAACGACGAGCCAGAACAACACCAACCTTCCAAAGTAGCAAATGCCACCAAAGACCAATGAGAACAATGTTGCACTTCCCCATCTGCAAATCAAAGACTGATCAAAACCTAAAAGCACATAGAATAGAACAGGCTGTTTGATACATTAATTATATTACAAGCGTGGTATCACGATAAGTTACTTAGAAAATTAGAACTCAAACTCAGGCTCGTACAAGGGAATGCCAAGATAATTTGTCAAAATATCTGAAGAACGAGCCACATAAGCAACAAGAAGGGCATAATGTATAAATATGTAAGACCAACTGCAAGACAAGTAGACAAAACAAAAAAATTATACCAGATAAGATAAACCTCTACAAAAGTTAATTATTTTGTTAAAAATCAAGCAGAACACTAAGTTTTCCGCCACAAGCAATGAAGTAATTTGACTATTAAGTTATGATATTCATTTATGGATATAAAGTATGCATCTGATATTGCAAAGTACTTGAAAAAGATAAAAAAATTATGACTTCCCTGCCTACCAAGCAATTTGAACTCCAACTGGTCCAAGAGTTCTCCTGGCCATAGATACCTGCAATAATCCATGTGTAAACAGGAAGGAATGTTACATGGATTTGAGGCGAGTGTTGGATATGAGTATGTGTCCAGCATGAGTATCCTTAGTTTTTTTTTCCGGATCCAATATGTGTTGGATATAGGTGTTGGGAATGAGTACTTCAAAACAAAGTCGGAGCAGCACAAATTATAGCTTGTTGATGGGAACAATTTGGTCTTGTCGGCTATCGGCGTTTCACTCCTTTTGCTTTGGGTGGAGAGCCACAATCGGTGAGGTAACGGCTGTTGGCCCTTCTTCACTCTCATCTTCCCCCTTATGCTTTCATGTTTCTCACAGAGAAACATCGACCAGAAGTCATTACCTCACCGATTGTGGCTCTCCGCCCAAATCAGAAAGGGTGAACCATAACTGCTGACTAGACCAAATTGTTTCCATCACCCTAGCTTTTGCCAGTTAGTTCCTATTCAGGCAATAACTATAAATTGCAATATCCTACATGTTTTCACACAAGCAAATTCCTTTCTTCTATCAGTACAATTGAGAAGCACTAGTCTCCATATTTCTGGATACAATAATGTCATCTTTGAATAAACTATGAAAACAAATTAAATGTAATTAAACTATAATCTAAATATATATTTTTATTATCACAAAGATCCACCCTTATGTGTGATCTTGCTAGTGGAATTGATTTCAAGGGATGATAGGCATACATACCAGTGAAACACCACCAGAACCAGTTCACACATTGTGTTGACATTTACTTCAGCAATTAGCAGCCCAGTAGCAACCTGGAATGGTTTATTGCCTTAAATAAACAAGTACAGAAAAATTAATTCTTTTGCAAAGAAAAAAATGTCTTAGATTACCATGAAAATCCAACAAAGGATACAAGCAACAGCAGAAGCCAAAAACCCAGATTCTTGTGTCACTGCTGGAATGGCCAGGATCCCTGCACCCACCTAGAGATTGAACCAACAACAGGAAAACAAATCATCACATGTGTGTATGTATAAAATTTCATAAGAAAATTAAACAACAGACAATCATGCTGAGAAAATTAAGGCCATACCGTGGTACCGGCCACCAGAAATATTGCACTGGATAAACTTCCTGGAGGGGATCATAGAACTCAAAAGTGAATATATATATGTATATATATATGAATGAAAACAAATAGATAACATACCAGGTTCTCTTTTGAGCGTGGCTTGGTTAAGGTTTGAAAAGAGCCTCTCGAATTCATATTCTTGTGGATGATCATCATTAGTAGAACGTCTCTGGGAGGAGCATTTGAAGGTTCTCAAAGGAGGATGAAAGTGATGATGACAATGGTGGACTCTCTGTGTAAGCAGTGATTTTGGGCTTTGGGTTTGAAAGTGTAGTGGAGGTGGAGGCCTTGCGCGAGAGATTAGAGAAGTGAGCGTTTGGAGAGGAACAGAAATGGACATTTTGTTGTGTGTTTCCCTTTCCCACCACAGAGCGTGGAGGACGCCAGCAATGGATAAGTAGAAGTGAACTAGAGAAAAAAAAAACGAAAGCAGAAGGGAGGAGAATTGTGACGTGGTTAACTCTGAATCACGTTTGACAATTATAACTAGAAGGGTAAAATACATGTCAGGTCATGTTATTATTAGTAAGGTTACAAATTAGACATTAATTTTTAAAATGTCACAATTAAGTCATTCCTCTATTAAAAATAAAACAAAATTTTGAAGTAGCGTAATATAATAATAATATTAGTCTCTAAAACTTATACATTTTATTAATTTGATTTTAATTTAAAATAATTTAATAAACTTAATTGTACAATTGTTATTCTCTCTTTTTTCATTGACTTCACCTTCTCTTCGTCTCTTTTTTTATTTTTTTTATTATCTCGTATTCTCACTCTTTTTCTTTGAAGATAAAATTTCACGTCCAGTTTTTTCAATTATTCTCTCTTAAAATATCACTTTCACCATCATAGTTTTTTCAATTATTTTCTCTCTTAAAAGATCACCTTCACCATCAACGTCGCCATAACAACCATGATGTTATGAATCAACAAATCGTACCTTCGAATTTCCATACTTGAATTTTCCGTTAATACTAGAGTAAACGTTGCTAAAACAACGACAACCCTTATTAGCAAAGTGGGTGTCTAGCTGGGAATGTCGTATTCTCCATATCAAAAGCTCGACTCTCCTAATCTAAATCCATTGCAGTTTCTAAAATTCTAAACTAAAAAGAAAGGTAGAATTGGATGAAGATTCAGAGGAAACAAAATATTTACGAGTTGAATTCGTCCACACTGTTTCCGCTCATGCTTGTCGGGACTGTCGAAGCCATTGATCATCGTTGAAATCAACATGGGCAACACACAGTTTTAAGGCCTCGGATGTTTTAAGCAATTTTAATATCAAATTAATGTTTATATGTATATATATAACAAGAACGCCTTGATTTTTGAAACCGAATGCCTCATTCATGAACTATTTTATATAGAGAGAGATACAGTAGTTGAATTCTGCTATTTTTTTTTCACTTGAATGATATTCAAATCAACACATCAGCATCACAAGAACCAACATTAAGCATAAAATACAAGCACACTTTGTCTCTCTTTCATTTTTTATTTCATAAGATCTGTTCCCTAACTAGAGGTGAGGGAGACGAAACAAATTGTTTGGGTAAGCTAAACAGATCATTCCCTTCAAATGGTGAAGTCCACTCATGTAATGCCACTGTTGAACTTTCTGTAGGAGCCACTCCCCCATTAGACGGTGTAAATCTCATTGCTGGTTTAGCCCTTAATCGATTTGAATTCGGGTGATAAATGTGGGAGGTACTCACAGAAGATGTCGGTCCCGGCCAAATTCCAGCAAGCGTTGGAGAAGAAGACAACCCCCCATCCAAGCTCCAATCAATATTGGTATAATCCAACTGTTCCATTGAGCTACTTCTAGTCCAGTCAACCAGAGAAGTGGCTCCTGATGTAGTAGTAGAATTCAAACCAGTGAAAAGTCCAAGTGAGGATGCAGGCGCAAGCATTGGTGATGCACCTGTTCTACTACTCCACAAACCGTTTCCTCGACTTATTTGAGGAGATTCTCCAGGATCACTGCCGGAGGTGAACTGTTGCTGTTGGGGATAATAAAGCTGGTGATGCTTCTGACTTGAACTTAACCCATTGGAACCGAGGCTTCTAGCACTTGGAATATGGGGCATAAAGCCATTAGATTTTAGTATTTCAACACTACTGATAGGATACATAAAAGAGGTTGTTCCAGGGGAAGACGCGCTTGTAGCTGGAACCTGATTTGGATTTAAAAGTTGAGGCGGCTGCATCATCATAACTGGTTCCATATTTGAAGGCTGAAAGTTCTTAAAATCATTTCCCACAGCCACATAATGGCTTTCTGCCTTTGCTGATGAAGGTGAGGCCTGCAAAGGTGAAGCCAAGGAATAAGAAACAGAAGGATTTGATCCAGAACTTGGCCACCTTTTGTCAGCTGGAACTGCACTTTGTTGGGGTTTTGCCCATTCTATCTTTGGTAGTATTCTCTTCAAAGACTGGAAACTTTTACTTGTTGATTCTGAAGGACCTCCCCCAGTAACTGCTGCTTCTGTATAGTTAAAATCCCTCTCATCTATTCTTTGTTGTGTTGGAGGAGTTGGATTTGGCTTTGGTTGTGGCCCTACAGATAGGTTTTGACTAGCAGCCATCGCTACTTTATTGGTACTCAGGGGATCACCACTTTCTTCTGTCTTTGGTGTAGGCAGGTCTAGCTTCAGAGTACTTAAGGCTTCCGCTGCACTGTCTAGATCACCTTCAGCGGCAACAATTGCTCTTTCAACTTCCTGCCTCGAACACTTGAATCTGATTTCCATATCAGCAATCCGTGCAAGCTCTTCTGATATGTCAATTTTCAAGTTTCCAGAACCAATAGTTGATTCTTCATGCTTAACTGCTTCTTCAGCTCCTTCAAAATGCCATGCCACAGATTCCTCCACTTTGCCTTCATTCAATATAAGAGCCATTGTTGCCCGATCTTGTGAAAATCCCATTGCTACAAGCTGCTGAGCAAGTGCTTCAAGCTTTCTCGACATGAGATAGCCACTGCATTGCTCATGCAACTCTTGAGCTCGCTTCTCCCTCTGACGCTGATGTTTCCTCTCATTTCTTGCTTGACAGGAGGATTAGAAGTTTTCTCTTTGTGATTCTGATTCACCGGACAAGCTTGCATTATTGGAAGCAGAATCATACTCGACACCAGCTCCAAGTGAGCTACTCAAATGATCATTGGTCTCATCTATGTTTTTGAAAAGACCATTGCTTTTAAGAGGTGAAGCAGAGGATGGCGGCGCTGTCTCAATGGTATGGAATGTTCCCAAAAGAGGATTATATGCACTAACTGGAATGCCACTACCTGCATTGGCAGGTCCTGAAAGCTTTGAAGGAGTCTTCTGAGATTCCTTGCCAGCCTTTTTATCCTTAGACTTGGACTTGGATGCAGGAAACATCGTTGTGGCCAAATATGGTCCTGAAATGTTTAAGACAACAATTTACCAAATCAATCAGGTTTTAAGCAGCAAAATAAATGAAAAGATGAAATTAAAAAGTTGATCAAACACAAACACAGATGGTCTTAAAATAAAATAAAAATGTGATGGAATCAAAAAGCTTCAAACCAAACACTAGACAAACATACAATGTTGTTCCTGGACTTATTAAAGAAGCATATCAAAACTAAACCTGAAAATTATACCGCAAGTAAACATGTTCCAGAACGATCACATTATTATATCCCAATAACAAAGCAAGGACATTTAGGCTCTGTTTTGGATGGTAATTTTGCTTAGTCTCACAATTTTCACCATTTGTCTCTAGTTTTCAGTGTAAATATATAGATTGACATTGGTTGAACCAGCAAATTTAATTTAAAAATTTAAATATCAAATAATTTATTTTTAATATTAAGTAATAAATATAGCAAATAATCAATATTTTTTTTGATAGGAATTGAAGGCCTCATTAAAAACCTCCTTCTTGATTAGAGAGACTTAAAGAGAAGCTCCTTAATCAGCGGAAGGAGGAAAAGAGTGGCTTAGGATTTCATTGAACATAAGAACACCAAAATACATCCAGATATCGACCCCGTACATAAAACAAAACACCAAAAAACACCCCCATAGCAGCAACAGTAGCTCAACCTAATATCAACCACAACAGCCTCTAAAAGACTAACCCAACTAAAAGCCTAACTCTTGACTCGGAGAGCACCAGAAAACATAACTCCTAAAAAAGAGACAAAAAATGACAGCTGGCTCAAACCATAGTATCCAAAAAAAAACACAAACATCCAGGAGCTTCCATCCACACGAAGAGGGAAGAAAACCAAACTATAGACTATGGCTCCAAAGCTGGAAAAATGGAATCATAATCTGGCTCCCAGAACAAACAAATCTCCCTCACATTGAACCTTCTATTGCTGCTTGATTTAGCTGTATCAGGCCATTAATTGGGGACCCGAAACTTTCTCTACAAACCCCGATATATCTCTGCCATCCAGCCTGTCAACCACCGCCCCAACCTGTTGGGCATCCCCATCCTGGTGGGCCTCCACACCCTTGGAACTACTAATAGCACGCCTCTTGATAATGTTAATCACGTTCTTCATCACCTTTGCCTTTAACCGATCATCTAAGTTGGATGAATAAAAAAAATCCAATATTCTCTCTCTATCACGTGTAGACATACAACTTTCGCTGCTTTCAAAAACTGACTCTCTAGCCCCTTGATCCAGCACATTCTCGTGCTCCACCACATCCTCTAGCACTTTCGCTTCTCTCTCCACATGCACCAGCAATGTTTGTGTTCCCCCACTCCCTCCATTTGGGAAAGAACCATCATTTGACCCCCAACGTCGCTCCTCGGACCCATCATCAAAGCCTCTCCTATGTTCCTGTCCTCCACACCCTCACCCGACAGGATGCTGCCTCTAGCACTAGTCCCCAAACAGCAGAAAAAGTTTTCTTCATTCTCAGAACACCTCACGGCCGACTGCACCTCCGAAGAGTGAATGGAACTTCCAGCTTCTTCAGAACCCTCTTCCAGCTCAGGAAACTTAACTGGAAAGGCACCAACGAGCTCCCTCACCTTGGATAACGGGGATACGAATGCCTCTTCAAAAGAAGACGACTCTACCCACTTAATAAAAATTCTGCACCATCCTAACAAGCTGTCTTTGAGAGTTGAGAATTTACTGTCGTCAACAGAACCAGCAATGGGAGCCACCATGTGACTAACATCCTTCCTTACATTGTTTCCCTCAACTGAATAAGGACCAGAGAGCTTCTTCCTCCAGAAAACATCACGAGGAAGATATCTCGCCATGAATACTCTAATTTTGTTGCCTTGAATCCAAGATCTATCAACACCGTTGATAGCCTTCCTCGCGTCTTCCAGTCTGGGTGAAACGAACAAAACCAAACCTACTTCCTCCCTTGCTTCTTTTATTGGGGATGAAAGAATCCACCACCTCGCCATATTTATCGAAAAATAACCAAAGACCTTTGTAATGAAAACTCTCTGGAATGTTGAAAATGATCACAGTGACACAGTTTTTCCCAACCGGAACTCTCACCTTACTCGCCATTAAGAGAAATGATAAGGAATGAAAATAGAAAAACTTATCTAAAACACCTGATTTTTAGAGAGAAGGAGGAGCTTCTCTCACCTTACTCGAAACATATAATCAATATAAATATGCATTTGTCTTATTGGTGATTTTTTTAATATAAAAATAAAGTAGTTCAAATCTCAATACTTAAAAAAAAAAAAGAAAAAAAAATGATAAATAACATAAAACAGGTTGAACTAGTTTTTACCAGTTCGGTAAATCTCTGGTTCAGTGTACTATATTGGACCGAACAGCCCTCCGATTCTATGTTGAACCTGTGCGACTGGAAAGTCCAGTCCAATTTTTCAACCATGAAGTACACCGGATTAACATACATCAAACTCCCAAGACAATCTTCTGAAGAAGGATTTCGTCCACAGGACATGAAAAATAATTACATCTTTATAATCCATCAAAGAAAGACAAAAAAAATGAAATAAGGATTGCAAAAATCTTTTAGAAGCCCTTCCAAACATTGTTTTTCTTGCAGATATGTTTTGAACATATCTCCAACTCTCCAAACAATTCTAAAATATCATGCCTCTCATCAAACAACAAAGTTCCAGAAACATATCAAGAACTTACAACTCAAACATAAATGTGCTTTATGGGAAAGATCTTTATCCTCCAACTTGAATTAAGAATTTCAAAATTCGTTGGTTTGGCATGATATAAACGAGAAAATTCAATTAACTAGTTCTCAAGGTCCTTCCTCAAAACTTAAGAATACAGTTAGCGAGAACCTCTATCACCTCAGACCAAATCATTATGCAAAAAAATGAAACCACATATTGATCTAATAGAACCTATCTCTATCACCTCACACGTAAGGGTACAGTTAGAACCTAGCTCACTGCTCACCAAATTCAATATTACTTTGTTGGGCGTGTAATAGAGGTAAATTACTTACAATTAACAGACAATAGACATTAAAACAATACTGTAGCATGGAATTCTGGCTTCTTTGGAGGCTCTGTCTTCTCTCTCTTATTTTATACTATTCCAATGCAAACAAATTATCCCCAATCATATTCAAAATAATCCCAGCTATTTTTTAGAATGGTAACTAAATCATAACACATAAAATAGTGCTTCTCTCGGATTTCAAAACACAACTTCCCGAGTTTCTCACTTTTGCGATTTCCTAAAGCAGATAATAGAATTACAGCTCTATTAATCACTTAGAATTGTGAAGACCTCCTAAACACAACTGTCATTTCTCTAATCTAAAAAAAAGAAGAGTAACAGTGCCAAGAAGAAAAAAATTAACGAATCGGGAAGGAATTGATACATAAGATCAGCGGCAGACGAACACCCCACGTTTCTGAATTCAGATCACGATTAAACATATTTACCCGGAACAAAATTCAATAGCAAAGAGACTAAATCGGACGAATCCTGTTTTTCTAAAAAAAATCCAAATACGGCCTACGGGGTCACAAAACGTAAATTTTAGGTTTTCCTTTTCCTAAATCAATAATACATGCATCCAGATATCATATTCCAACTACGTATTCCATTTTCTCTACTTCCAAGAAAAAGATTCCAACAAGCCAATTAGATCCGGGAATTACCCAAACAAACACGATTCTTTCGATAGAACAAATGCAGATTCAATGGAAGCTCTTAGAAGATCGAAGGATTCACCAATGTGATCTATCAAACAACCTTTCCTATAGAAAAAAAAATGATTCCAAAAAAAATTGAAGAAATCAAAGAGGGAGAGGAAAATAATCGGAGCACCTGGATTGACTGGAAGGGTTGCGAATGGATCGGAAGACCAAGATTGATGGACTTATGGTTGAGACTTTGACAGAGTAGGAATGCGACGAGACAAATGGGACATGAGAGAGAGAGAGAGAGAGAGGTTTTTCGAGACCGATACGGAATTAGGGTTTTGTTTTGTTAGTTATTATTTGGGTAAACCACGCGTTTAATATCACAATTATCACATTTGTTTCAATTTAGTCATCCAAATATTATCGGTGATACTGTAAGTTAATACCATATCATTATTAAGAAAATATCATATTAACAATTTTTTTAATTTTTTTACGGTAAATGATTAAAATAAAATTAAAATATAATATTAAATATGATTTAAAAAATAGTTGGATGACAAAAATATTTATTTTATTTCTTTTATGAAGTGGGTATAAATAGAGTAGTAGAATGGGCATTTTGATCTTTTCAATAACCATTTATTGAGGGAGGACCTCGTTAGTGTTCTACTGATGCAAGTCGATTTTTGGGTTCATATTCATGATTTTTCATTGAGGTTGATGTCGGTAGTTATGACATGTCAATATGAGAATTTCTTAAGTTACTTTTAGAATATGATGTAAAGTTCATGAGAATAAATGTTAGATTTGATACCAACATGTATCGGTGATTGGATATCTTAAAAAGTGATGATTTACACTAATTTGTAATCAAAATAGACCACGTGTATCAACACATAGTCGTTGATGATCATATACAAAATGTGTTCACATGATAGCAAGTGATTATTGATTGTTCATGGGGTATGCTACGCATGTCTGGAGATTAATATGGATCTTATATTCGCATACTCAGAGGTTCGCAAGTAAAAACATATACAAGAATGGTGGTAATGCGCAATTTGTTGGGTCACTTGGTAGCTTATCTCTAGGGTGGAGAGAGGTAGTTTCCGTTACACTAAGAAGTTTCTCAAACAAGAATTAATTAAAGACAATCTATAAAAATTACTTCATTCATCGGATTCGAAGGTCTATAATAGCATAATAATCACTAATAATCACTAATAGAGTTTCGAGTATTACTTAATATAAATCAAAATCAAATCAAATAATAATATAGTCTACAAATAAAAATACTAACAATTTTATATGAATATATATGCCGGTTAATATAATTCAAAAACTATACTCTAAAAAGGAGATGATGAAAATCCTTCATCTATGATACTCCTTTGACACAAATACAATCTGCAACCCACAAATGTAAATATCTTAATATTGAATTTGTACAAACTCGGTAGCACATTTATACTCTATTAAACTTCATGTAATGCATAGATTTATGCATTTAGTTCAAATATAAGCAAAGAACATATATCATCATTAGACAATTGACTATTCACATTAATATTTAGTCGTGTATCAATACAAAAGTACTATTAATCACACATCTAGTATGTATTAGGAGGACACCTGATCACATAATAATGGGCAGGATATCAGAAATTCGTAATGCATCAGATAATAAAAATAAAATAAAATCATATTCACAATATTTAAATTACTTATTTACATACCTAAAATTATATAACTGACACAAATTGATAAAATTATATTTGTATTTAGATAATAGAAGAGTTACATGAATAATCTCTCGTTGTGGTTATTCTATACTAGGGATTTTAGCCCTAGTTTTCTCTAGTTTTTTCCTGTCGTCGTTAGTTTCTTTTATTCTTTATTTTTATGATCGATGATGGTACCAATCTCAATGTTGGTCGTCGACCGCTGATATCCATTGTTTTTCTGTTATTTTATTATCATATCTTTATTTTTTTATTTTTTAACTTTTAATAATTATACCTTTATGACATATTTTTCTCCGCTTTTATAAAATGTTTCCTTCTACCTTTTGGCACGTTTTCGGTCTTTTGACCTTTTTTTAGTTTTTTTTTTCTTTTTAGGATTGGATTTAATATCGTCACGACTAATTAAGATGACACTTATTTATTATCATGCTTATTTTATCTGCTTTGGACCCTCAAATTAGATTTGGATATGCGATTTGCATCCGTTGATATTTTCTCACGTCGCTATTCTGATTTACGGTTTGTTGGTGGTTTGTTAATAGTTTTATCCTCTTTTGTGGTTTGTTTGCCCATGCAATCAAATTTATTCGTGTATATCTTTTATTCGAGTTTTTTTTATTATGTTTTTTAACATTTTCCTTGTATGAACTTTGTGTGATCTTAAGTTGTTAATTTCTTATGTTAACGGTCATACATAAAAAAAATATTTTTATTATATGTTTAGTTTATTATAATTGTAAACTTTCATTATAATTTAAATATTTTTTTAATTTTAATAAAATTAAATAATTATATTTTGTGAAAAAAATCTCTCGTCATATATAATCACAAATCAAATAATATTAATATCATGTATAATAAAAATGATCAATTATTATATATTTTTTTAAAAAGCATTTGTATTCGATAAAGGGAGAATACAAAAACAAGACAACATGTAGATATCGTTAAAAAATCTCCCTAAACTTATATGGAGAAAAAAGAGTACACCAAAAAAACTGCAGCAACCACACAAGGGAAAAATGAACTATATCTACGGCACTGCTAGCAACCAGAAACTGCAGCAACATTCCAGCACGGAAACATCGAATGGCCATCCAACAACAAAGAATGACCATTGGAAAGGCAAACATGTGGTGCACAGCATCTCCAAACAACTAAGGAAGCAAGACCCTACCACCAACTAGCATATGAAACAACTTCAAAACATAAACAGTGAAAAAAGAAAACCTCCAGAGATATGTAACCACCAGTAAAAAATAGAGATTGAATATGCATAACAACACATCCCTAGAAATTAATTAAGAAAGGATCAACAAAAGCACTACTACCTAACAATCCCAACAGCCACATTTGACTTACCAATTATTATATCTGAAGGTGTATCAAATCTATAACTCATCAATAGCCACATATGACTCATTTTAATGGTTTTAAATTCAAATTATTAAATTTGTGGTTATAAACTATTTTACGTATAAAAAGATAACATATTCAATTATTCATCTTTCAGACAGACTAATTCATTTCAACTGTCTCGTCTACTCTATTCAACCAGTGCGACTCTTACATCTCCAGCAATATGCCCCCAAGACACCTACATTCAGAGAAAATCTTCGATTTCGTCGTAAACAAAGGAAATGGGATCAAGGGTTTAGTCGATGCAGGCATTGAAACCGTTCCCGAGCTTTACATTCTTCCAACCGGCGAAAGATTGGAACCAAACAATATCTTACCTCACGAATCGATTCCAGTGATCGATGTTTCCAATTGGGACGACCCGAAGGTGACCGAATCGATCTGCGAAGCTGCGGGAAAATGGGGTTTCTTTCAGATAACTAACCATGGAGTTCCCTTGGAAGTTCTCGACGCCGTCAAGGAAGCCGCTCATAGGTTCTTCGGGTTACCGTACGAAGAGAGAAACAAGTACTGGGCCGGGAATTCGCCGACTGATACAGTGGCTTTGAAAACAAGCTTTGTTCCGCAAGCAGAGGATGTTCTTGAGTGGAGAGATTTCCTGAGCTTTCGTTGTGGTCCTCGGGATCTCGAATCATTTCCCTCATGGCCCCCTGTTTGCAGGTAATATATATGTTCGATCCTTCTGCTTTAATTGTGCATTAATATGGGTGTAAATGAGTGAGATTTGAATGAATAAGATTGAATTAGTGTTTGTTTATTTATTTGGGAAGGAATTTATGTTCGGTTATGTTTATTGTCAATTTCAAATCTTGTAATGTTTGTTTATTTTTAAAGATATTCGTGTAGTATTCCTTAACATGATCGTTTAACGTTCATGAACATTAACCTTAATTATAAATGAGTCAATTAATGAGTTTTCAGATAAACTTGTTTTCATCTAGTGTTAGGTTTCTAAGATGTTACTTTTCAGCAGCTTCTTAAGACATTTCCGCCATTGTCAATGCTTCAACTTTGGTGCGTTTATTTACAGGGAGGAAGTGATTAAATACATGCAGAGTGCAAAGCCAGTGATAAGGAAACTGCTGGATGTCCTATTGAAGGGACTGAATGTGAAAGAGATTGACAAAACTAGAGAACATGCGTTAATGTCTGCACCCGTAGTTTACTTCAACTACTATCCACGTTGTCCGAACCCGGATCTCAGCGCAGGAGTACTCCCTCACTCCGACATAACGACAATCAGTCTTCTTCTACAAGATGACAATGGCGGTTTATACGTTCGAGCAACCGACGATGACGATAACTGGATTCATGTTCCGCCAATCAATGGGGCTCTTGTAATCAACATAGGAGACGTGCTACAGATAATGAGTAATGACAGTTACAAAAGCATTGAACATCGGGTGGTCGCCAATGGAAGTAAGGACAGAGTTTCAGTGCCCATTTTTATGAATCCACGACCCGATGCAGTTTTCGGTCCTCTGTCGGAAGTGCTGGAGAGTGGTGAGCAACCATTGTATAAGGAAGTCTTCTTCTCTGATTACTTCAGACACCATTTAAGCAAGAAACATGAAGGAAAGAAAACGATGGACTTTGCCAGGATATGATTAACCCCTCTATGTTGCAATATCTTTGCTGGTGTTAAAATGATAATGGGAAAATAAACATGACAATCAAATCTATGGTGTATTTGCAGGGATATTATTTTCGTGAACATGTAAACTTTTATTGGTTAATGTGATTGATTTATGCTCAAATGTTGAGAAGTATAGAATCAATATTGTTGATAGTAACAATGGGGTTGTGGTGGTTTTTATGCTCAAATATATCAATGTGACGTACTCAAGAATAAGTAAACAGAAGCACCATTTATTTTATCATTGTGATATTGTTATAATGCAAGGTATGGTTATTGCATGGTTGCCTAATTGCATGACTGTTTGTCTGTTTATGTTTATTTACATAGTGTACCATTAAATTTTATCAAGTTTAATGTTTAGAATTATTTCTTCATGCACAAATAGTTAGACTTCGATAATTGGGTCAAGGTAGAAAAGTCATCAGAGGCAATAAAAATGGCTGAATCGGGTGTTATGAGGTGACCTTGGTAAATCACATAGCTGAGTTGTTTAAACAAAACTGGATTGTACAGTTTATTCATATTTCCAGACATGGGAATAAGGTTGCTGATTTGGCGAAGTTGACCGATCAGAATACTTTTGAGTGTGTGAAGTGGATAGACCCTCCGGTGATGGTGCTGCCGTTGCTTCATGAAGACAGAGTGCACAGTATGATGAGTTAATCGATTGACAAATATGGTCAAGAGGGTGAATTGACAATTAAAATTTTGGTGGAAGCTTTTGTAGAAAATTGAAATAAATTTGCACAGCGATTTAGAGTGGTTCGACTTTCACAACCAAAGTCTACGTCCACTACCTTAGCTATCCACACTAAGGATTTTCCACAAATTCACTAATTTGTCTTTCTTTTGAGGACAAAGAGTAACCTTACAAACTCTCAAGAATTATACCCAAATTCTTGAGAACACTCCCTCCCAAAGAGAACAATACAAATTTGCAAACTTACAAGGAAATCCTCACAAGGTAGATTGTTTGCACAATTCTAGAACAAAGAAAAGAACAGTCAAGAATGAATACAATTGAGCACAATAACTGTTCTTGAAAGCAAAATGAATATTGAATGAAAAATAGGTTTGAAATGCTCAAACTTGAGGTTTGATGCTTTCTCTTTGATTCTCTCTTGATTCTAGTTATTTGATGTTTCTTGTTATTGATCAATGGCTTATAAGCTTGCTTAAATACACCTTGAATCACTTCTGAACGTTGAGGATCATTAATGAAGTTTTTGGAGCCGTTTAAGTGTGAAAATAATTAATATTTCTGCTTGAAGTGTGGGGGGAATCGGTACCCCTAATGGGGAATCGGTTTCCTAAGTATAAAATTCAAATATTTCGACCGTTGAACAGTGGGGGGAACCGGTACCCCTGGGGGGAATCGGTTCCCTCCGAGCATACTGGAATTCTCGGAGCCAAACCATTCAGGGGGAATCGGTACCCCCTTGGGGGGGAATCGGTACCCCCTTGGGGGGAATCGGTTCCCTCTGAACAATCTGGAAATTTTTGGATTTGAAATGGTTTGAAATATTTTGTAAAATTGTTTTGAAATTATTTTAAGACTAAAACTTAATTTTACACTTGAGTAAGGATTAAAAATGACATTTGAAAGATTTGGAATAATATTTTGATATTCGAATAATTATATCGAATATACTTAGAAAATCTTTTTGGAAAATCTTAAAATTCATTTAACTTAATTTGTTATATCGAAATATCAAAATGTATTCAACAATCTCCCCCTTTTTGATATAACAAAACATTTTGGTAATTTTAAGATTTTGAAGTCAAGTTTTGAAATTACTCCCCCTTACTCTAACACTACTCCTCTTTAAAACGCTTTTAACATTTCTCCCCCTTTTTGTTAAATCAAAAAGACTTTTAAAAGATATTAAACAAGGTTTTGAAATCATTCAGCCAACTGATTATATATATATAGTTTAAGCTGCTAAGATCACAATCAAGAGAAATGTTAGCCATTAGTTTCACAATCAATATTCATAAACAATGTGACATGGTAAAATTGGTCATATATATTTAACATGATATAAATGATGCAATAATGAAGAAATTTAACTACACCAAATATATAAGTTCAAACATCCATAATCCATCAAATAAGTTCAAATATCCAACAACAAAAAGAAAACAATCCAAAAACATTCAAAATGTTTAAACAATAAGCTTTAAGTTCAAAGTACTAAAGCAAAACACAGAATCAAGCATCTGTAGGAGGATCGAGAGGAGGAAAACGAGCTCGCATAGCGGCCATCTCATGAGTGAGGTCATTAATACGAGCGTTGATTGCTTCATTGTTTGTACATATCTCCTAGAGAATTTCCAATTGTTGAGCTCCCATTGTGGATAAATGAGACTCTATAGAAGTAAAGCGTGAATCTATGGTAGCATATCGGAAATCGAATGTATCCATAAAAGATTGAAAATATGGAGGCATTTGATTCGTTTGTTGTGCTTGCTCCTCGGGCTGCTCAGGCTCATCTTCGGCTTCATCGATGTCTCGCATTAATTGTTCAAGCTCGGGATCGTCGTCAGCTTCTGGTGGAGCTCGTGAAAAACTAGCTCCCGGAGTATTTTCAGAAGATCGAACCCATTCACCGATTTCCTTATCCTTTATCCATCCCTCTCTCGTTAAGGAAAGAAGATTAATTTGTTTCTTTAGAGGAAAGACGGCATCTAGACCTACTTTAAGCCCGGTTTTAGAAAAAAGATTACTCAGAATGCAACCGTAAACTAGAGATGAACAGAGTTTCTTGTTAGGAACAACATTTACGGTTTCAACGATTTCAGCAAAAATAATCTGAGGTATGTTTATTTTAATACTCTTTTGGAAACAATGTAACCACCAAAGATCTAAAGCACGAAGAGTAGAGTAACGACCTCCGAATGGTCGAAACCACCAAGAAATCATTAGATGAAGAAAATGATCATGAAGGTCTAAGACACTCGCACTATCCTTTCTTTTATAACGAGAACCTAAAACATGTTTTTCATTTGATATACCATCATTATCTAATCCTAATGCTTTGGCTATGTAAGTTGAGTCAATATGTAAGAATTGTCCTAGGAGGTAGGAACGAACTCCTATGGTTTCAGTTTGAGCTCGGTTTTTGACACAAACGACATTAGAATAAAAGATGCGAACAAGTTGATGGTAAACTATAGGTTCAAGGTCACAAAGTTTATCAAATTTCCACTTTTGTAAAAAAGGAAGATATTTAAAATCGATATCTATCATAGTTTGACGAGAAGGGATACATTCTTCTCTAATTTTGTAAGAGTCAAAATATTGATAATACAAAAAATGATGATTTCTAGGACCAGGATGATTGAAGCACGAGTTTTGGATAGTCATATTAGGATCAATGGGATTAAGATTAGGAATTGGAATTTCAGGAATAGGATGAGGATTTGGAGGTGGGTTGGATTGACAGTTTGAGCGACTGGATGATGACCTAGCACGTTTAGGATTGGACATGGTTTAGGAAATCAAAATAGAATGGATAACCTGCAATTTAGAAAACACATGTATGCAATTCAATCAATCCCAAAACTCAATTGAGTCCATAATATTTCAAGGTTCTCTAAACCAATCCTAATGGGCAAAGTTTTTAAAAACTATTGAAAAATAAGGTTTTGAAAAATAATATATGTATAGTTTTCATAACAACAACACAATTCAATTAAAACATAATAATTTGAAAAACAATTTTTTTTATTTCGAAAATTTCAAAATTTTTGGAAAATTCTTGTGTTTTTTATTAAATTAGTTGTAATATCTAGTTTTAATCACTAAACAATCAATGCCCGATCACTATTTTTATCTAGAACTAATTAAAACTAGTCATATGTTCAAAATCAATGAAATAGAGAGTTTAGAAAAATTTACCTTGAAAGATGAGATTGAGTGGATTTTGATGTTGTTTGCATGATTTTAATGATGCTAGCAAGTTTAGAAGAAGATATTTGAAGAGAATTTCGATTAAAAATGTTGTTTTGAGGTAAAGTGAAGATATGGAGAGAGTAGAAGAGGAGAACGGTGGCAATGAGAGAAGAAGAGGGTTTGAGATTTTTAGGAGTTCTGCCCGTGTTAAAATCCAGAACCCCAGGGGTTATCGAAATGCTAAAATCCGATTTTAAACACACAACGTGCTAAATTAACTTTCTCTAATGGTATTGACAACACATATATTGAAAATTAATCATGTTCAAACAATCAAATTGATCTTTAAACTATATTTGAACATAAAGTTAATTTTCATCAAGAATCATAAACTCCCCCTAACTAATAGCAATGAATGCAATAAAAAATTACTATTCTAAGCGTTTTTCATTTAGTCTTAAAAGTGCTAAAATTATTTTAAACACTAAGTGAAGATAGGTTGGTCAAACCTAATTCTCTCCTAAGTGTCCAAAATCTTTCCTTGTCTAAAGGTTTTGTATAGATATCCGCTAATTGGTGCAAAGTATCAACAAATTCTAGAACTACATCTTCCTTAGCGACATGGTCTCTAATGAAGTGATGTGTTATTTCAATGTGCTTAGTTCTAGAGTGTTGGATGGGATTTTTAGTGAGACAAATAGCACTAGTATTGTCACACTTGATAGGAATGGTACCTACTTCAATTCCATAATCAAAAAGTTGTTGTTTCATCCATAAAACTTGTACACAACAACTACCAGCTAAAATGTATTCGACTTCAGTGGTAGATAATGCAACACAATTTTGTTTCTTTGAAAGTCAAGAAATCAACATATTTCCAAGGAATTGGCAAGTACTGGAGGTGCTTTTCCTATCTAATTTTCATCCTCCATAATCCGCATCAGAAAAGGCATGCAAGCTAAAGCTAGAGTCTCTAGGATTCCAAAGTCCTAAACTATGAGTGTCCTTAAGGTATCTAAAGATTCTCTTAACATCTAGTAAATGTGATTCCTTAGGGCATGATTGAAATCTAGCACATAAGCAAACACTAAACATAATGTCTGGTCTACTTACAGTTAGATAAAGTAGAGATCCAATCATTGACCTATATAATTTAACATCTATACATTTACCTCCTTCATCCAAGTCAAGCTTTGTAGAAGAGCTCATTGGAGTGTCATGAGGTTTCCCATTTTCCAGTCCAAACTTCTTGAGCATATCTTTGACGTACTTAGCTTGATTGATGAAGATGCCATCTTTTAT